CGAGAATGACTCAAGAATCAAATCCAGAATAAGAATAAACAGCAATAAAGAGCCCAAAAATGTGATTAAGGTTTGATAGAAAGAAAGAGTTGAAACATCATCTCTGAGAGGACCATAGAAGGACTGACTGCAGCGACTGCAATTATACACATCTAACAAAAAACAGGACTTGCAATATCACATTGCACGAAAGCACGTGTACAATTACCACTACGTATTTATTAATAAAAGCTGTTACAAGAAGTTCAAACTTGAATAGGAACAGAAGAAAAACGTAAAATATAATCATTCGAATGACTCTTAATAATGACGAAAATATAATCATGCTAACTCTAGTTTTTTATAAAAGATACACGGATGTGCAGAAAAATTCAAAATAGCCTGTACCATCTGTGGTAATATCATACACAGGTAAAGTTTATTTAATCGTTTACTGATGTATGTTGACAGGACAATTACTTGTTCTGTTTGCAATAAGATATTTAGTACGAAGGGCAGAATGCGGAATTCATTCGTTGTATCACGGGCCAACGATCCTAACTTCTGCAAGCTTTACGGCATGGCATTTGTCCATTCGCAGTTTTTATGCAGTTATATAGAAAGAGGAAGGAAAAATGTTCGGAGTAACTTCCCGATCGAATAATGTTAGTAGATATTGAGCATTATTGCAAAACTTCTAGATGGACAAGCGATAAACAGGCTGTCGAATTAAGCGTAGAAAAAATATAAAAAAACCGTGATTAAACAGTTTTTATGCTTTCAGCTTCAACACACTCGCTCAAACTTACATCTTGAAACGCACATATGCGCTGATGCGTGCACACACACATAAGATATCCGTGTTTAAGAATATATTCGAGAGGGAACTGCTTTGTAGAATTATATTTTTGCCCTTTTTTGAATTGTGATTTTGTCCCTAGACATATATTCGCAATAGTTCTACATTTTCTATACTTTCTTATACACGTGCGCAAAATGTTTTATTTATTGTACAATACGTATAACTATACATACAAAAGAAATGGATCTACGTAGTGCAAACCTTGAGCTTAATCGAAACCTAAGCCCATTTCATCGCTTGATTCTTCTTACGGTTCTTTCTTTTTTTCTCTTCCTTGGTTGGTACAAGCTTTTGACTGTTGGCAGATGCTACTACAGCTGGAGGCTCAGCTCCTGCAGGCGGCGGCACCAACACCAGATCAAATATCGGTAATCAGTTCTTTAACATCGGTTCCTTCCACAACTTTGGCAACAGCCCTGGCCAGTAAGATTCAACATTAACATTCGCAGCTTTCAAAATAGTTTGTATTTCTTCTCCCGTGCGTGATGTGTGTACACATGAATGTGTGCACATACATGTTCATAATTTTCTGTGTAGACTACAAAAACGAGACATATGGAAGAATTGAAGGATGGCTATATGAGGTACGTCATAGATATATATTATTATTTACGTGCTGAATGAAACATGATATTAAACCTTTTTTATAAAAAGATAAAGAAATACAGTCTGCAAAATAAGAGCGTGTACGGGTTAATGTGTAGAAAAATTTATTTTTAATGATTTTTAAGTACATGTATTTGTTGTACTCCATGAGAAGAAAAATGCTATACCATTAATAATGAGTCCAGTCACCACCGGCTTTGGTAATTGCCTGGAATCTCCGAGGCATACTTTCCACTAAGTTGACTGCGTATTCGTTCGGTAAAGACCTCCAAATGAGACGAATTTGTCGTGTCAGCTGCTTCAAAGTGCACACTCTTTTTCCTCGAAGCTTGTGCTTGAGATATGCCCACACATTTTCAATGGGATTTGCATCTGCCGACTGCGATGGCCAATCATGTGTGACAATGCCAGACTGCTCTTTCCACTCGACGCCAAAGCTTGCTCCGGTGTTTTGGGTCGTTGTCTTCCTGTAAGATCCAGTCCTCGTTTTTTTTATGAAGCATCGTTCAGCAGTCGGCAACAAACACTCCTTATAAATTTTAAGCATTTTCGGAGCATTTAAATTGTATGTAAACAGATGTAATGCTCCAAAAGCCTGTTTCAAAAAGCAGCCCCAAAGATGAACTTTTAAAGGGTGTTTAACAGTCCGTTGTATTAATTTATTGGTCAAGGTTGACCAGGAACGTCGGATGGCAGTATATCCCCAAACAGAAGCTTCGTCCGTAAAGATCACGTTGTTCCAATCTCGATCCAAATTCTCTTTTGCCCAAGCGAGTCTATTCGTCACATCTTTCTCGCCCAATAGTGGTTTTTTCATTGTGCTTCGATGTTTGAGGTTATGCGCAAAGAGATGGGTACGTATAGTTGTATGTGATACTTCTATACCCTTCTGTTTTAATTTTGCTGCTCCTTGTCGCAATGTTAAGGTCGGGTTCCGCTTAAACAAATACACAATTTTTTTTCCATATTCGGCATCACTTTGCCTATCGAGCCACGTTCTGGCAAGTAATCGACATTTTTTGATCTTCTTATATGTTATGTACAGATGAATTTGACTGTTCTGGATTCAATATTTCTTTAGTAATGTCCAGGCCCGTCACATGTAGATTGTTGCGAGATATACGCAAAATGTGACGATCACCGAGAGAAAGAGTACAATGAGGTTGGCCGTGTGTTTTCTTATTATAACAAAACCTTCCTGAAGCTTTAAACGCTCTTAAGCAACTTGATCATCGCTGATTTGGAGAAGCCTAACTGCCGGGAGATTTCTCCATGCCTTTGTTTGCGACTCTCTATGATAAATTTTCATTGTCGTTCGTACATCTTCTAAGATACTACTTAACTAATGTTTACAGCTGGGCTGAATTAACGACAAAATACATAACCATAACATATAAACAAAGGTGATCCACGATTTTGGGACAATTAATATAGTGTTTTGAATATCATAATATATGTTGCCAAATTTTCTCATACATTACGAACAAAGTATATATAATAACAGCTACCTGTTGCAAAAATGAATCTAATTTCTTTACTACAAAGAAAGTTATGCTAAAACATCCTAAAAGTGATATATTTTTGGTCGGTACTGTACATAAAATTAAAATACAACAGTATATAAATATATATAAGTATATAAAAATATGCGATATAAAAAAATATGTAACGACATATAGTATGTATCAAAACATATCACAATATATACAAGGTAGCAATACATAAGACAGTTATATTTCGTTTGATTATTCCGCCTTTGTGAACAACGTAAACAGCTCTTTCCGAAGATTGTCTTCGGATCGTTCTTCGCTCAGACAGCACTTGCTTAACAACTGTGTAAGAGTTTAATTCTTATCATAACCGATCACCGCGCGTAAGTTTATGATTGGTGACTCGCGACGGTTACTTCATATGTTTCCCTCTTGAAGAAAGTGTTCAAACTGTTTCGCAGCCGATTGTAGCTGACGCGACCTTTTCTGTTTGTCTGATATCTCGCTTTTGGATACTGTGAATATCACAGCTACTAATAATTTCAAATAGTCGTTCGTCGATCTTACAAAGTGCACATAAAATCTTTCAGAGGTACTAATAATAAGTCGAATCACGAAGAAAAATAAAGTTGAGCGGTGTAGTTATACAAACAGATTATTGCGCCGAGCAAGTTTTAAAAGTCAAAATCTCCATTAGGAGAGAATCGATAGAAAGAAAACGGAACAACTTTGAAGAGCGATCCGTGCGGCAAACGTTAAAAAAAAGGAGTAGCATAAAAAGTGGATATGTCCTACGAATGTATTTCCTGCGGACAAAGGTTCAGTCAGATGAATTTCACAAAGCACCTCATTGAGGACAAAGAATGTTGGATAAAAGTATGGGACCATGGCAACAATAAAACCAACGATGAGGTAATCTTGTAAAAGTATATTATGCTAAAGCGTAAAGACAATTATACATGTCGCTAGTCCATAGTAAGACTGTAACTTTGTTTATAATGTGCAGAAAAAACTGGAAAGCCATATACGTATTCATTCACAAAAACAAGAAGAAAGTAATATTATAGGCCCGGAACCATTTTTAAGCAGTAACACGTATGGCATACATTCCAGCACAACCAGCGGCATTCAAGAACGCAAAAATATACTTTACGAATATGACGATTACAACCAAAAGTTTTGTAGAGAGAATGAGTTGACGAATCACTTAACGCAGAAACACAAAGGTGTAATGCACCAATGCGATCATTGCAACTACGAATTCAACGATGAGGTAAATCTGCAAAAGTGTTAAACATTGTACAAAACGAAGACGGTCACACGTGCCCTCCATAAAGCCGTAATTTTCTTTACAATCTGCAGAAACATCTGATGAGCCACATACGATGTGTTCATCCAAACATCCAGGAGGTAACTAATAGTGCGAAGCCGGGGCCTTCTTGGGAGGATGATCAGTGCGGCAAACATTCTAACAGAAATAGTTGCATTGAAAACAATAGGCCTTACGAATGTGATGTGTGTAACCAAAGGTTTCATAAAAGATATGGATTAATATATCACTACAAGAATGCCCACCGACGTTTAATGTACCAATGTGAACATTGCATATACGGAACTAACGATGAAGTAAATCTGCGGAAATATTATACATTGTACCAAAATGCAAAGACCGTTATATGTGTTCTCAGTAAGGATATAACTTTTTATAATCTGCAGGAAGATATGAAGAGCCACATACGTGATCATTCTAACAACCAAGAAGAAAGCATTATTATAGACCCGGAACCGTCTTTGGAGAATGACCCGGGCGTCAAACATTCCAGGGAAAACAGCTGCATTGAAAACATGCTTCACGAATATGATGTTTGCAACCAAAAGTTCCGCCAATTTAATAAGGTGACGAATCACTTAATGCAGGACCACAAGTATTTAATTCATCAATCTGAATATTGCAACTACCCAACAAACAATGAAATAACTCTGCTAAAATATTATACATTATAGGAAAACGCAACGGTTTCATGTGTTCTCAGTAAGACTATAACTTTCTTTGTAATCTGCAGGAGCATCTGAAGAGCCAGGTACAATGTGTTCATCCTAACATCCAGGAAGAAAATAATAGTGCAGAGCCGGGACCGTCTTGGGAGAGTGTCCCGGGCGTCAAACATTCTAAGACAAACAGCTGCATTGAAAACATGCTTCACGAATATGATGTTTGCAACCAAATGTTCCGTGAAATTAATGAGGTGACGACGAATCACTTAATGAAGGACCACAAATATTTAATGCATCAATCTGAATATTGCAACTACCAAACCAACAATGAAATAACTGCTAAAATATTATACATTATAGGAAAACGCAATGGTTTTATGTGTTCTCAGTAAGACTGTAACTTTCTTTGTAATCTGCAGGAGCATCTGAAGAGCCAGGTACAATGTGTTCATCTTAACATCCAGGAAGAAAATAATAGTGCAGAGCCGGGACCGTCTTGGGAGAGTGTCCCGGGCGTCAAACATTCTAAGACAAACAGCTGCATTGAAAACATGCTTCACGAATATGATGTTTGCAACCAAAAGTTCCGTGAAATTAATGAGGTGACGAATCACTTAATGCAGGACCACAAGTATTTAATTCATCAATCTGAATATTGCAACTACCCAACAAACAATGAAATAACTCTGCTAAAATATTATACATTATAGGAAAACGCAATGGTTTTATGTGTTCTCAGTAAGACTATAACTTTCTTTGTAATCTGCAGGAGCATCTGAAGAGCCAGGTACAATGTGTTCATCCTAACATCCAGGAAGAAAATAATAGTGCAGAGCCGGGACCGTCTTGGGAGAGTGTCCCGGGCGTCAAACATTCTAAGACAAACAGCTGCATTGAAAACATGCTTCACGAATATGATGTTTGCAACCAAAAGTTCCGTGAAATTAATGAGGTGACGAATCACTTAATGCAGGACCACAAATATTTAATTCATCAATCTGAATATTGCAACTACCCAACAAACAATGAAATAACTCTGCTAAAATATTATACATTATAGGAAAACATAATGGTTTTATGTGTTCTCAGTAAGACTATAACTTTCTTTGTAATCTGCAGGAGCATCTGAAGAGCCAGGTACAATGTGTTCATCCTAACATCCAGGAAGAAAATAATAGTGCAGAGCCGGGACCGTCTTGGGAGAGTGTCCCGGGCGTCAAACATTCTAAGACAAACAGCTGCATTGAAAACATGCTTCACGAATATGATGTGTGCAACCAAAAGTTCCGTGAAATTAATGAGGTGACGACGAATCACTTAATGCAGGACCACAAATATTTAATGCATCAATCTGAATATTGCAACTACCAAACCAACAATGAAATAATCTTGCTAAAATATTATTCATTATAGGAAAACGCAATGGTTATATGTGTTCTCAGTAAGACTATATATTTCTTTATAACCTGCAGGAGCATGTGGAGAGCCAGTTACAATGTGTTCATCCAAACATCCAGGAAGAAGATAATAGTGCGGAGCCGGGACCGTCTTGGGAGAGTGATACGTATGGCAAACATTCCAGCAGAAACAGCTGCAGTGAAAACAATATGCCTTACGAATGTACTGTTTGCAACCAGAGGTTTTATAGAACGTTAACTTTGACAAATCACTACAAGAATGTCCACCAACGTTTAATGCCCCATTGTGAACATCGCGCCTACGAAACCAATGATGTAGTAACTCTGCAAAAATATTATACATTATACGAAAGCGCAAGAACGATTATATGTGTTCTTAGTAAGAGTACAATTTTGTTTATAATTTACAGAAAAATCTGAAGGACCACGTACGACGCGTTTATCCTAATGTCCAGAAGGAAAGTAATAGTTCAGAGCCGGGACCGTCTCGCGAGAGTGAGCCCTGCGCCAAATATACCAGCATAAATAATAACAAAAAAAAGTACAAATTAGATTGGAAATGTCAAGTTTGTAATCAAGAGCACTCTGGCAACCAAAAGTTGATGCATCACCTAGCAGAAGTCCATGGAATTCAGGCAAAATTCAATTGTAGCCAATGCAACTACAAAACCCACTTCTACTATATTTATCATCGTCATTGGAAAGCAATGCATGAAGACAATTACGACTACCCGTGTACTGAACCCGGCTGTGAACGGGCGTACAAGACACGAACAGGTCTGCAGAAACACATGCGTGATAAGCATTCTAACGAACAAGAGAAAAGCAATATTGTGGACCTGAAACTGTCTTCAGAGAGTCATCCGTGCGGCAAACATTCCACCAGAAAGAGCAGTGTTGAAAAGTACGCAAAAAAACCTGTACTATGCCCAGTCTGCAACCGAAGGTTTCGTTTTCAGAAAGAGCTGATAGATCACTTAATAAAAGACCACGGCCGTCGAACGATATTCAACTGCATCCATTGCAGCTATGCAACTAATAACAGGCAAAGCTATAAAAAGCATAATAAACGAATGCACGAGGACAATTACGACTACGTGTGTAGTGTGCCCAACTGTAACTGGGAGGGCAAAGTTCAATGTGATCTAACACAACACATGCAACGTGTTCATCATAATAATCAAAAGAAAAGCGGAAGTACGAACGCGGAGCCGTCCTTCGAGAATGACTCAAGAATCAAACAATCCAGAATAAGGAATAAACAGCAATAAAGAGCCCAAAAATGTGATTAAGGTTTCGATAGAAAGAAAGAGTTGAAACATCATCTCTGAGAGGACCATAGAAGGACTGACTGCAGCGACTGCAATTACACATCTAACAAAAAACAGGACTTGCAATATCACATTGGACGAAAGCACGTGTACAATTACCACTACGTATTTATTAATAAAAGCTGTTACAAGAAATTCAAACTTGAATAGGAACAGAAGAAAAACGTAAAATATAATCATTCGAATGACTCTTAATAATGACGAAAATATAATCATGCTAACTCTAGTTTTTTATAAAAGATACACGGATGTGCAGAAAAATTCAAAAATAGCCTGTACCATCTGTGGTAATATCATACACAGGTAAAGTTTATTTAATCGTTTACTGATGTATGTTGACAGGACAATTACTTGTTCTGTTTACAATAAGATATTTAGTACGAAGGGCAGAATGCGGAATTCATTCGTTGTATCACGGGCCAACGATCCTACTTCTGCAAGCTTTACGGCATGGCATTTGTCCATTCGCAGTTTTTACGCAGTTATATGGAAAGAGGGAGAAAAATGTTCGGAATAACTTCCGATCGAATAATGTCAGTAGATATTGAAGCATTATTGCAAAACTTCTAGATGGACAAGCGATAAACAGGCTGTCGAATTAAGCGTATAAAAAGCATAAAAAACAGTGGTGAAACAGTTTATGCTTCAGCTTCCACACACTCGCTCAAACTTACATCTTGAAACGCACATATGAGCTCATGCGTGCACACGCACATAAGATATCCGCATTTAGAAAATATTCGAGAGGGAATTTCTTTGTAGAATTATATTTTTGCCCTTTTTGAATTGTGGTTTTGTTCCTGGACATATATTCGCAATAGTTCTATATTTTCTATACTTTCTTATACACGTGCGCAAAATGTTTTATTTATTGTACAATACGTATAACTATACATACAAAAGGAATGGATCTACGTAGTGCAATCCTTGAGCTTAATCGAAACCTAAGCCCATTTCATCGCTTGATTCTTCTTACGGTTCTTTCTTTTTTTCTCTTCCTTGGTTGGTACAGCTTTTGGCTGTTGGCAGGTGCTACTGCAGATGGAGGCTCAGCTCCTGCAGGCGCGGCACCAACACCAGATCAAATATCGGTAATCAGTTCTTTAACATCGGTTCCTTCCAAAACTTTGGCAACAGCCCTGGCCAGTAAGATTCAACATTAACATTCGCAGCTTTCAAAATAGTTTGTATTTCTTCTCCCGTGCGTGATGTGTGTACACATGAATGTGTGCACATACATGTTCATAATTTTCTGTGTAGACTACAAAAACGAGACATATGGAAGAATTGAAGGATGGCTATATGAGGTACGTCATAGATATATATTATTATTTACGTGCTGAATGAAACATGATATTAAACCTTTTTTATAAAAAGATAAAGAAATACAGTCTGCAAAATAAGAGCGTGTACGGGTTAATGTGTAGAAAAATTTATTTTTAATAATTTTTAAGTACATGGATTTTTTGTATTCCATGGGAAGTAAAATGCTATACCATTAATAATGAGTCCAGTCACCACCGGCTTTGGTAATTGCCTGGCATCTCCGAGGCATACTTTCCACTAAGTTGACTGCGTATTCGTTTGGTAAAGACCTCCAAATGAGACGAATTTTGTCGTGTCAACTGCTTCAAAGTGCACACTCTTTTTCCTCGAAGCTCGTGCTTGAGATATGCCCACACATTTTCAATGGGATTTGCATGTGGCGACTGCGATGGCCAATCATGTGTGACGATGCCAGACTGCTCTTTCCACTCGGCGCAAAGCTTGCTCCAGTGGTTTAGGTCGTTGTCTTCCTGTAAGGTCCAGTCCTCGTTTTTTTTTTATGAAGCATCGTTCAGCAGTTGGCAACAAACACTTCTTATAAATTTTAAGCATTTTCGGAGCATTTAAATTGTATGTAAACAGATGTAATGCTCCAAAACCCTGTTTCGAAAAGCAGCCCCAAAGATGAACTTTTACAGGGTGTTTAACAGTCCGTTGTATTAATCTATTGGTCAAGGTTGACCAGGAGCGTCGGATGGCAGTATATCCCCAAACTGAAGCTCCGTCCGTAAAGATCACGTTGCTCCAATCTCGATCCAAATTCTCCTTTGCCCAAGCGAGTCTTTTCGTCACATGTTTCTCGCCTAACAGTGGTTTCTTCATTGTGCTTCGATGTTTGAGGTTATGCGCAAGGAGATGGATTCGTATAGTTGTATTTGATACTTCTATATCCTTCTGTTTTAATTTTGCTGCTCCTTGTCGCAATGTTAATGTCGGGTCCCGCTTAAACAAATTCACAATTTTTTTTTCCATATTCGGCGTCACTTTGCCTATCGAGCCACGTTCTAGCAAGTCGTCGACACTCTTGATCTTCTTATATTGCTGAACCCACTTAGCGACGAACGATTTTGACTTTCCCATGTATTTAGCAGCCATTGCATATGACATTTTTGGTCCTTTGGAGTGGGAACAAAGGAACGCAGCCTTGTAGCGCGATGCGTATGTGGCACTCATGGCAGTTAACTTGTTTCTCAGGTTAGAGTTCGACGCCAACTGAATCTTTTGTGACAAAGCGTTCACAACAAAGATTTCATCTATCGGTTCACAAAATACTAGGACGATATTTCAAGCCAACTGCCATTTATGCCGTACACGCTCTTACTTTACTTTACAGACTGTATGTTATGTACGGATGAATTTGACTGTTCTGGATTCAATATTTCTTTAGTAATGTCCGGGCCCGTGACATGTTGATTGTTGCGAGATGTATGCAAAATGTGACGATCACCGAGAGAAAGAGTACAATGAGGTTGACCGTGTGTTTTCTTATTATAACAAAACCTTCCTGAAGCTTTAAACGCTCTTAAGCAACTTGATCATCGCTGATTTGGAAAAGCCTAACTGCCGGGAGATTTCTCCATGCCCTTGTTTGCGATTCTCTATGAGAAATGTTCATTGTCGTTCGTCCATCTTCTAAGATACTACTAAACTAATGTTTACAGCCGTGCTGAATTAGCGACAAAATATATAAACAGAACATATAAACAAAAGTAGTCCATGGACGTCCACGGACGATTTTGGAACAATCAATGAAATATTTTGAATATCATAATATATGTTGCCAAATTTTCCCATACATTACACTAGAGATGTGCGAACTGTTCGAATTCGAATCGAATCGAATCGAATCTAATGTAATTCGATTCGATTCGAATGTGAATCCTTATGATTCGAATCCGAATAATTCGAAAATTTCGAATCGAAAATTCAATTACGAATCAAATATATTAGCGTGCATTATATTTGCAAGTACAAAACGAGACATCTGGGCCTGTATGTTTGAACCCTTAACTTGTAATTAACTTAACTTATAATTAATAACTTAATTATAAATTACTTTAAATATTTAAATATATATTTTACTTTAAAATGATATTACAATATCAATATCCCCTTTCATATTAAAACCTTCCATCATTATGTACATGTTTAATAGTCATGTTAAATTTTTTAATGATTCGATTCGATTCGAATTCGAATGAAATTTCATAGATTCGATTCGATTCGAATTCGAGTTAAAAAAATTAGATTCGATTCGATTCGATTCGACATAAAAATTCTTGATTCGCACATCTCTACATTACACACAAAGTATATATGATACCAGCTATTTGCTGTAAAATTTGAATCTAGTTTCTTTACTGTGAAGGAAGTCATGCTCAAAGGTGATATATTTTTGATCCTAAAGGTGATATATTTTTGATCGGTATCGGAGTGTACATAAAGTTAAAAATACATGAGTTTATAAATATACATAAGTATATAATAATATGCGATATATAAAAATATGTAACAAGATATAGTATATATCAAACATATCACAATATATACAAGGTAGCAATACATAAGACAGTTATATTTCTTTTGAATATTCCGCCTTTGTGAACAATGTAAACAGCTCTTTCCGAAAATTGTCTTGGAATGGTTCTTCGCTCAGACAGCACTCGCTTAACAACTGTGTAAGAATTTAATTCTTATTATAACCTATCACTGCGCGCAAATTCATGATTGATGATTCGCGACGGATACTTCTTGTGTTTCTCTCATGAAGAAAGTGTTCAAACTGTTTCGCAGCCGAGTGTAGCTGACGCGACCTTTTCTGTTTGTCTGATATCTCGCTTTTGGATACTTTGAATATCGCAGCTACTAATAATCTCAAATAGTCGTTCGTCGATCTTATAAAGTGCACATAGAATCTTTGAAAGGTACTAATAATAAGTCGAATCACGAAGAAAAACAAAGTTGAACGGTGTGGTTATACAAACAGATTATTGTGCCGAGCAAGTTGTAAGAGGGTAAAATCTACATAAGGAGAGAATCGATAGAAAGAAAACGGAACAACTTTGAAGAGCGATCCGTGCGGTACACTTAAGAAAAGTGAGTAGCATTAAAAAGTGCATGAATATGTCTCATAAATGTAATTTCTGCGGACGAAGCTTCAGTTACAGTAATTTCACAAAGCACCTCATTGAGGACATGGAATGTTGGATAAAGGTATGGGACCATGACAACTATAAAACCAACGATGAGGTAACCTTGTAAAAGTATATTATACTAAAGCGTAAAGACGATTATATATGTCGTTAGTCCATAGTAAGGCTGTAACTTTGTTTATAATCTGCAGAAAAAACTGGAAAGTCATATACGTGTTCATTCTAACTACGGACATTCAACAAACAAGAAGAAAGCAATATTACAGGCCCGGAACCATTTTTAAGCAGTACCACGTACGGCAAACATTCCAGCACAAGCAGTGGCATTCAAGAGTGCAAAAATATACTTTACAAGTATGATGATTACAACCAAAAATTTTGTGGAGAGAATGAGTTGACAAATCATTTAACGCAGAACCACAAAGGTTTAATGCACCAATTCGGACATTGCAACTACGAAACCAACGATGAGGTAAATCTGCAAAAGTGTTAAACATTGTACAAAACGCAAAGACGGTTACATGTGCCCTCAATAAAGCCGTAATTTTCTTTACAATGTGCAGAAACATCTGAAGTGCCACATACTATGTGTTCATCCTAACATCCAGGAAGGAAGTAATATTGCAGACCCAAGACCTTCTTGGAAGAGTGATGATCTGTGCGGCAAATATTCTAACAGAAATAGTTGCATTGAAAACAATATGCTTCACAAATATGATGTTTGCAATCAAAGATTCCGTACAATTAATGAGTTGACAAATCATTTAATGGAGGACCACAAAGATTTAATGCACCAATCTGAATATTGCAACTACGAAACTAACAATGAAGTAACTCTGCTAAAATACTATATATTATAGGAAAACGCAATGGTTATATGTATTCTCAGTAAGATTATAACTTTCTTTATCTGCAGGAGCATCTGAAAAGCCAAGTACAATGTGTTTATCCTAACATTCAGAAAGAAAATAATAGTTCGGAGCCGGGACCGTCTTGGGAGAGTGATCCCTGTGGCGAACATTCCAACACAAACAGCTGCATTGAAAACAATATGCCCTACGAATGTGATGCGTGCAACCAAAGGTTTTATAGAAGATATGAATTGATATATCATTACAAGAATGCCCACCGACGTTTAATGTACCAATGTAAACATTGTATATACGGAACCAACTGTGAGGTAATCTGCGAAAATATTATACAAAATGCAAAGACGGTTATATGTGTCCTCAGTAATTATGTAACTTTCTGTATAATCGATAGGAGGATATGAAGAGCCACATACGTGATCATTCAAACAACCAAGAAGAAAGCATTATAGACCCGGAACCGTCTTTGGAGAGTGATCCGTGCGACAACCATTCTTGCAAAAACAGCTGCATTGAAAACAATATACTTCACGAATATGATGTTTGCAACCAAAGGTTCCGTAAAATTAATGAGTTGACGAATCACTTAACGGAGGACCACAAAGATTTTATGTCCCATCGTGAACATTGCGCCTACGAAACCAACGATGAGGTAACTCTGCAAAAATATTATACATTATATGAAAACGCAAAGACGGTTACATGTGTCCTCAATAAAGCTATAATTTTGTTTATAATTTGCAGGAAAATCTGAAGGACCATATACGACGCGTCCATCGTAATATCCAGGAGAAAAGTAATATTTCAGAGCCGGTACCGTCTTGGGAGAATGATCCCTGCACCAAATATACCAGCAGAAATAATAGCAATGAAAAGTACAAAATAGATCAAGAGCAATGTCAAATTTGTAATCAAAAGTTCTGTAGCGAGCAAGAGTTGATGCATCACTTAATAAAAGCCCATGGACGTCAGACGACATTCAATTGCAGTCAATGCACCTACAAAACCAACTACAAATTTAATTATCAACGTCATTGGAATGTAAAGCATAAAGACAATTATGACTATCCGTGTACTGAGCCCGGCTGTAAATGGGCGTTCAAATCGAAGCAGGAACTGAAGTGCTACATACGATGTAACCATTCTAACCAACAAGAGAAAAGCAATATTATGAACCCGGGACTGTCTTCGGAGAGTGATCTGTGCAGTAAACGTTCCTCTAGAGGGAGCAGTATTAAAACGTACGTAAAAAATTCTATGGATTGCCCAACCTGCAAACAAAGATTTTGTTATAAGAAAGAGTTGATAGATCACTGCATAAATGTCCACGGACGTTGGGCGATATTCAACTGCATCCATTGTAGCTATGAAACTAATAACAAGAGAGACTATGAATTGCATAATAAACGATGGCACGAGGACAATTACGTGTGTACTATGCCCGGCTGTAATTGCAAGGGCAAAGTTCAGCCGAATCTAACACATACAACATGTTCATCTTAATAGTCAAAAGAGAAGTAAAAGTACGGACGCGGAGCCGTCCTTGGAGAATGGCTCATGCAGCATACAATCTAGAATAAGAACAAAACAGCATTAAAGAAAGTATGCTTAAGGTTTTGACAGACAGAAAAAGTTGAAACATCATCATCTCTGAAAGGACCATGGAAGGACTGCAGTGATTGCAATTACATGTCTAACAGGAAATAGGACTTGCAATGTTACATTGCATACGAAAACATATGTACAATTACGACTACGTATGTATAATATTAACCCATTAACGCCCAAAAGTCCTAAAATATTAGTCTTATTTTGCAACTGTATTTTATGTAGAGAAACATATTATATAAGGTTGGAATAGCATTTCCTTATGTTTTCGGGATCATTCTACAAGATTCCGGCATCAGAATTCGTTTAGATTCACAATAAAATCCAATATGACGGAATTTTTGGAAAAACGTCGTGAAAAATCAACAATTTTATTTTTTATAAGCTTGATTTCGTATCAAAAACGTTACTTTGATACAGATATAAATGTCACATCTTGTCCCAAAAATATTGAACTTTCAAGGTATGCATTGATGAAGGTCCACAGGCATTTATTGCATCAATATGAATATTGCTACAACGAAACCAACGATGAGGTAAGTCTGCAAAAATATTATACATTATACGAAAACGCAATGACGGTTACATGTGTCCTCAGTAAGGCTGTAACTTTGTTTATTATCTACAGAAGGATCTGAGAAGCCACGTACGACGTGATCATCCTAACATTCAGAAGGATAATAATAGTGTGGAGCCTGGACCGTCTTGAGAAAGTGATCCTTGCGTTAAATATTCCAGTAGAAACAGTAGCAATAAAAAGTACAAAATAGATCAAAAGCAATGTAAAATTTGTAATCGAAAGTTCCGTAGCGAGCAAGAGTTGATGCATCACTTAATAAAAGCCCATGGACGTCAGACGACATTCAATTGCAGTCAATGCAACTAAAAAACCAACAACAAATTTTATTATCAACTTCATTGGAAAGTAAAGGATGAAGGCAATTACGGCTATCCGTGTACTGAACCCGGCTGTAAATAGGCGTTCAAAGAGCAAATTAATCTCATGCGCCACATACGACGTATTCATTCTAACCAACAAGAGAAAAGCAATATTGTGGACCTGAAACTGTCTTCGGAGAGTGAACCGTGCGGCAAACATTCCACCAGAAAGAGCAGTATTAAAAAGTTCATAAGAAATCCTGCGCTATGCCCAGTCTGCAACCGAAGATTTCGTTGTAAGAAAGAGGTCATAGATCACTTAATAGAAATCCACGACCGTCAAACGATATTCAACTGCAGCCATTACAATTATAGAACTAATGTCGAGTACAGCTATGAACAACATAAACAAATACACGAGAGTTACAAATACGTGTGTAATGCGCCCGGCTGTAATCGGGCGTTCAACGTGCAGCAGTATCTGAAGCTACACATACGACGTATGCATTCTAACTACCAAAGAAAAACAAAAGTGCGAACGCTGAGCCGTCCTTGGAGAATGACTCATGCAACAAACAATCTAGAATAAAAAGAAACGAGATTTAAGAATCCAAAAGTGTGCCTAAAATTTCGATAGAAAAGAAAAGTTGAAACATCATCGCTAGAAAGACCATGACAAGATTGCAACGATTGCAATTAGATGTCTGACAGGAAACACGACTTGCAATATCACATTGCACGAAAGCATGTATACAATTACAATGTACGTATGTATTAAGGAAAGCTGCTACAAGAAGTTCAAACCAGAATTGAATCTGAAAAAACACATATATTATGATCATTCGGATGACTCCTACTAGTGACGAAAATATGGTCATGTAAGCTTTAGTTTTGTAAAGTACAAGAGATATACAGATATGCAGAGAAATTCGAAAGTAGCCTGTATATTCTATAGTAATATCATACGCAGGCAAAGTTTATTTAATCATTGACAGATATATGATATTAGAAACCAATTACATGTTGTGCGCGTGCGTGAATGCATGATATGTGCATACATGTATGCACGCACATACGTAGTCAAATCTAATTTTCGGTGTAGATTACAAGAATGATACATATGGAAGAATTGATGGATCACTATACGGGATATGTGACAGATGTATATTTTGTTTACATGCCAAACGAAATATAATATTAAACTTTTTTATAACAAGATAAAGAAATATATTGTACGAGTGATATTTTTAATGTATGTATGATATTTTTAAAGTGATATTTTTAATATAAAATGTTTGTATGTGGATATTTACATATTTCAATAATCTCAAATTATAACAGTGAAGTTACATCAAGTTACATCAATATTTTGACATTCCATTTAACAATGTAGCAATATAAAAGAATGTAAATGTAATATAATACATGTTACGTAAGTTATAGTTACATCGTTTAGTAAGATATTGTGGAATTGATGTAATTTTAGTGTACCAATTTGTGCTTCCACTAGGATATAATAAAAGAAAAAAAATATATATACATGCATATATATATATATATATACACACATATATATATACATATATATATATATATATATATATATACAGGGTGTCCCATTTTAATCCGGCCGGCTGAATAAAATTTGAGGATGGATATTTTCCAGAAAAAAATGTCAGACAAATGTTGTTCAGTTTTAAGGGGGACATTCGATGCCATCAACAATTTTGACCTCGGGTGAAGGGTTCAAGGTCATTCAAGGTCAACTTTTTTTTCTTAAATGGGAACCCCTATTTTTCACATCGGCAATCGATTCTACGTAAAAAAAATGAAACTTTTGTCTGAAGCATTTTTTTTTTATAACGCAAACTAATTTCACTTATTCAGCCTCCAAAATTGAAATTTTCAAACTTTCTGAATTTTTTACTCGAGAATGGTGGGGTTTGGGGGGAAATTGCAGAAGACAAAAAGTTCTTAGAATGCTGCAAGGAATTCACTCGAATTTTCGCATAGTTGATCATGCACTTTTTTCCGCCAATGTTTGGAAAAAATCTTTTATCTCATCATGTCCAGTACCCTCGGCCCTTTTCAGGGTCAATGATGTGCAAAATCCCATCGGCGACCTCCACATGGTGAACATCGGGTGATGCTAATGCCGAGGGTGACATGTTCTTTACTAATTTTTTTAAATAAAGCATTCATTTTCACGAAAAACAGCGAGAACTTATTCAAATCCCCAAGCCATAAGTTCAGTTTTAAAAGCTCATAATACACAACACCTTTTTGATCCCATCAAATACAGAAGTATGTTCTATAATCATGAATATTGTGTTTTTGACACCCATATGGATGGCAACCTTTGACTGATGCTGTCTGAGTCTACTTATAATATTTTGCGTTTAGGATTGTTAGAATGGATCCACTTTTCATCACCAGTGACAATCCGGTACAAAAATCTTTTTTCTGTGCCTGGCAATGAGAGCAATGGCAGTGGATACACAGTTCAGCATATTCACATTGGTCAATTCATGTGGCACCTATTTCCTTTTCTTTCTGAATTTTTCCCATTGCATACAAACGGTCAGAAACTGTCGAAACTGCAATATTTAATGCCTCAGCCAATTCCTTGAGTGTTTCAGATTGATTTTGGTCCACACTTGCAGTTCGGCGTCTTCAAACTTTTTTGCCTGACCCGGAGTTTTCTTGTCTTTCACATCAAAATTTGAACCGTCGAAACGAATCTCTAATGCAAATGATCTTCCACGCTCGATTTCGATATTTGGAAAACGTCTAGAAAATCTCCCGCGTCGTGTAGTGTAGATTGATGTCGATTACCGCCTTCAATTTGTCGCTGTCCGTCTCATTTGGTCGACCTAAGCGTGGTTTGTCTTTGAAGGAAAAATCTCCGCAACGAAATCTCGCAAACCACTTTTGGCACATGCGTTCTTTTACAGCATCCTCACCATATATTGCACAAATCATTTTACAGGTTTGCGCCGCGTTTTTGCCTTTTTTGAAGTAAAAAAGCATTTTTGAAGTAAAAATGCCGAGAATGCTCGTCTTGGTTATCCATTTTCAGATGACGCAAAACATACAAGATACACAAGCAATATTTACGTATATTTTTTAAATGTACGTTGAAATGTCATCCGTCAATGACTATACGCTTTCAAGACTTTCGACTGAAGATAAAGCTTAGCAGAGCGCCTTGATGCCATCTATCGAGAAAAACCGCACGGACTTACACAGTCTGTCCCAGATCTAATGAGACTGGTCTAAAAAAAATACAAAGCGTTTATTATTTTGATTTTTTATTCTTGTTTATTCAAAATAGCCTCCTTCTGAGTCAATACAGCGCTGGAAACGTTCAACAAATTTTTCGGAACATTTTTTATACTCATCGGCTGGAATTTAGTGGCCTTTAGTATGGCGGTCGAAGTCTTTTGGATGATGGGGATTCCCGAAGGAATCCGGCAAGCATGTCAGCCATTGTAACTGGTGATGAAACGTGGTGTTTTCAATACGAGCCAAAAACAAAACGTCAGAATGCGACATGGAAGTCACCAGAAGAGCCAAAAGAGAAAAAATTACGCTTTCAGAAGAGCAAAATCAAGACAATGTTGACCGTTTTCTTCGATTCAAAGGGAAATGTTCACAGTGAATTCGTCCCAGAAGGTCAGACGGTGAACGCAGAATATTATCTGGGAGTTCTACAACGATTGTGGGCCAGAATTCGACGAGTTCGACCGGAATATAGAGAGCCAGGCAGTTGGTTTTTGTTGCACGATAATACACCATCGTACAAAGCCATCATGGTACGTGAATTCTTGACCAAAAAAGGCATCATTGTTATCGATCATTCACCGTGTTCACCTGATTTGACTCCGTGTGACTTCTGACTATTTCCCAAACTGAAATTGGCGATGAAAGGAAATCGTTTCGATACCATCCCGGTCATCCAAAAGACTTCGACCGCCATACTAAAGGCCATTCCAGCCGATGAGTATAAAAAATGTTTCGAAAAATTTGTTGAACGTTTCCAGCGCTGTATTGACTCAGAAAGAGACTATTTTGAATAAACAAGAATAAAAAATCAAAATAATAAACACTTTGTATTTTTTTTTAGACCAGTCTCATTGGATCTGGGACAGACTGTGTATTGGCCAACCTAATACATCGTTCCCGAAAACGCGGAGAGCATGCGATGTTACTCTTTGACGGAACGTCTCGCGAGACTCGCGTCGCAATGAATTACGGGATCACGTTAGCGCGGCGATAAGGCAAAGAAACGTAAT